TGTCTAAAGCTAATGCGTTACAGATAAAACCCAAGTAATTAGTAATAATTTAAAAATGCACCACATGAAGTGAATTCGAATCATATTTTGATTTTTGCATTTACTTTGTCTGAAAGGAATTGATTAGTGTTGGCAATGGATATTGAGATTTTTCAGATGGGTTCCTTCTGAAGAGATAAGGCTGGCATAAATTTTGAGGAGGATTATTAACGGGATGCACCTGAATCCAAAGGGGTCCTGTCAAACCTGTACCTCGCGATCCTTTTCTAGCATTGATGACATTTGTGAGGCAGTCCTGGAAGAGGCACTTTGTGAGGGAGCCTGATGAAGTGGAGGTAACCTTGGATGCTTGTGAATTGTCGTGCAATAACTTCTGTATTGCCTTGCTTTCTGCCAGGAAAGGGCTCAGTAATCAACATGCTCTTTTCTCAATGCTGGCATAGGAATGTCCCTGAATTAAGTCTCCTTGACTCAGTAAAACCAACAAACACCTTTATTTTTCTCTTAGGAGTATAATGGTAGGTCCAGGAATATTTTATAGGTTGAAGCCAGAAGAGCTGCTCAAAACAACAGCAGGAACGTCCTAAGTGTTGGAAAACTTCATAGCTTTGTTTCAGCCTTCCTTAGGCAGCTTTGTTGTTCAGTGCTGATGGGTCCTGAAAAGATTGGACATGACGTGCTGCAGGAATAACGTTTGCAAATCCCAACCCCGGGAGGTGGATCTTGGTGTCATCAGGTAATCACACAGGTGACACTCCCCAGTGCTGCTTCTAGCACAAGGTTTTGCTTTAGCTGCCGTGTTTCTCTGAGGGATTTCCACAAAAAAGGTTTAGATTTCTGTGTCTGCATGAATAGACTGAGCACTGATGTGTTAAACCCCTCAATTCCAGGAAGCACCGTGCTTGCTGGAAGCAGACTGGAGATGTGCAGTGGGGCACAGCACCAGGGCTGACAGAGCTCAAGGAGCATTTGGATGATCTCCTTTGTGTGTGGCTCTTGGGGATGAGCCTGTGCAGGGCTAAGGTTTGGACTTCCTGATCCCTGTGGGTCCCTTCCAACTCAGCCTATTCTGTGATTCTGTGATTCTTACTATGATCAGAAGCTGTTTTACTAATGGCATTAGAAAAAAGGGGAAGAGCCTAAGCCCCTGGAGGCAGTTTTGTAGTGCCAGTGGGAGAAGGATCTTCTCGCTGTGATGTTTTTATTTTGTTTCCCAACAAAATGCTCCTTCCTCCCAGGCAGGCACAGATAACAGTATATGGTGTGTGCCCTCATACATGACACTGATTTATCTCATCCCACGACCCTTTGAGGTCCTTCTACGCTGCAAGTGTACAGGACTGGATGCAGTCCCATTTGGACTTTAATTGCAGGCTGCTGCTCAAAAGCACGTTACTTATTGCCACTCAGGATGGAGAACGTGCAGGACTGACTTGTATTCGTTTTCCTTTGGGAGAAGTCAGAACCTTTGTAATGGTAGGGAGTGAGAAAATAAAAATCCATTAAATAAAAGTCCCGGCTTAGAAATGTTACTGTGACAGCAGTATTTTCTTGTGCCAGCAAAAATGAGCTCGTTCTTTTAAAAACTTTCTGTACATGCCATGAATTTCTCAAGAAATCTCAGTTATAAAGACTGCCCACTGTTATCTTGGTTTTATGTGACTGTAGCAGTTTGTTTGAATTTCTTTTGCAGATGTTGAGCAATGGACAGGGATGTAACTGTGTTTGCCCTCCTAATCTAATTTGTTCAGTTGAAGTGAAAAAAAGTTCTGTAATACTTCAGAAGCAATGATGTTATTTGTTTTGTGCCGCTGCCTCTTTTGCTCATTGAATCTTATTTTTGCAAATGGCTAAGAGTATTAAAAAAAAACACCAACAACCTCAAACCCAGACAAAACCTCCAACAAAACAAACAAGCAAATAAAAAAAAAAAGAACATAGAACTGCCACCACCATCCTTATTCAAGCTCAAGAGTTTTGCTCTCAAGCTTTTCTTGCAATTTAGAAAACCTTGTTTTCCTTTTCTGGAGTTTTGCTGTTGGACATTTCACAGAATCACAGAATGGTTTGGGTTGGAAGGGACCTTAAAAACCATGTTGTTCCAACCCCCTGCCATGGGCAGGGACAAGGGACACCTTGCATTATCCCAGGGTGCTCCAAGCCCCGTCCAACCTGGCCTTGGACACTTCCAGGGATGGGGCAGCCACAGCTTCTCTGGGCAACCTGTGCCAGGGCCTCCCCACCCTCACAGGGAAAAATTCCTTCCTAATATCTAATCCAAACCTGCCTTCTTTCATCACACTTGTCCTGTCACTCCATGGCATTGTCACAAGTCACTCTCCTACTCTCTTGTAGTCCCTTTGTTTGAAAGAAGTAAATCTGCCTCTCTTTAACTTATCACCATGGAGAAGTTGAGGGAAGAAAGTAAAGCTCTTTGCAAGAGTCAGTAGTAAACTTATCTAACATGTTGAAGTCACTGTTTATTTTGCTGTATATCATTTATCATTTTACAGCCAAGTACTAGAGATGCCAGCATGGCACTTCACAGATCTCCAGTAAATCTCCTGTCCCAGGAGACCTTCCACTGACAGGCAGACAATTACTATTTGCAGAGCGCTGCTAACTTTGTTACAGTTGTTTACCAAATACAAAAGTTGTGTGCATTACAAGTGATAAATGTATCCTTTTCATTACAGTAACAAAAAGTTCAGTCTGCTTGGCAATAGTCAAGATTTTTCCGCCTAATCTAACATGAATGGCAAAATCTATTCATTGAGGGAGGCTGGTGAAAGATTTGCAAAGGACTGGTTTAGTGTCTAAAACAGAGTTGGGTTTGTTTAGGGTTTTTTTGTTTGTTTGTTTGTGGGGTTTTTTTGTGGTTTT